GATTGGTTTCCTCCTGCACACGCCCTGATCAGGGCCAGAGATTGAACTCACAACCCAGGTATGTGCCCTTGACCCATGATTGAACCTGCAACCCTTCGGTGCATGGGCTGACACTCCAGCCAGCCAGGGGCCTGCTTCTTCTTCGTAAGGAGCCTTGCTTCACAGCTCAGTCACTCCCACTGAGCGTGGTGTCACTGGTTTGGGCTAGGACCCCACAACCCAAGGGGACACCCCCGCTGCCTGTAGGCTGCTCTCCAGAAGAGGAAGTGGGTGAGTGGGATTCTGAGCGTCTCTGCAGCACTTCCAAGAACATTCAATACTCACCAGAAGGTTTCTCCCCAGGCCCCAGTGAGAGCTTCAAAGGCAGCGGTGTCCTTGGCAGCATGCCCACTGCCTCGGCTGCCTTGGGGCCCAGTACCCAGTCCTTGCCCTTCACCTTCTCAGGCCTGTGGCTCTGGTCCTGTGCAGCCCAGGAGGGACTGATGCTCCGCTCTGACCCGCGGGCTCGCTGCTCCCCCAGCAGCGGACAGGGCCCTGAGGTCGGGGCCAGTGACTTGGCCTCCAGAGGTGTCTGGCCGAGGCTGCGGAGCACTGCCCCCCATGGACTCTGGCTGGGCCCAGAAAGGACTGAAGCATTAGTGGGCGAGCCCACTCCCCACACAGATGGCAGTGGAGGTTGGGCAGCGGTGGCCACAGGGCTGCGGTCCCTGCCTCTAAGAAAATGCTTAGGCTGCGAGAGGTGAGCGGAGGGAGACGTGCAGGCCTGAGGAAGAGGCCAGCAGCCAGGTGGACTGAGGCCCCCAGCTCCCTGTGGGTGGGAGCCAACAGAAGGCCTGTGAATGCAGCTGCACCCGGAAGAGCAGGGACGGTGGACGCTGCAGGGCCCGCATTCGGGGCCTGGCCAGTCGCTTCCTGGATGAATCCTGGACAGGGTTCACCCTTCAGGCCTGTTTATTTGTAAATGGGAACAGTGATGACCACCTTGGAGGTTTGTTGAAGATACAGGACATCATGGTCTTAGGGAGGGAGCCCAGTGCCTGCTGAGTGGGGACCCTCCTCATCCCCAGCAAAGCCTTCACCTCTCCTCCGCCCTCTCATGAACCTCACTCCCAACTCCTCCACTTCCTGGGCGTCCCCCCAGCTTCCTCGGGCCAGCGACTCTCTGCACCTGCTGGCACTGCTCTAGCTGGTGGCGCCTTCCCCTGCACCTGGCAGCCGCCCTCGCTGTGCCCCGGGCGGTGTGGTCTGCTTCCTCCTCTGAGCCCCACCCTCTCTCTTCTTTGGGCACATGACTTCAGCAGGTCCTGCCTTATGCTTCCTGGGCCTGTCTCCGTCAGACCACGAGCCACTTGCTGCCAAGGACAGTGTGTTCTTTCTGCCGTCCCGGCCTCTAGCCCTGCACGCGAAGCTCAATGAACCACAGGCCATGAGCAGGGAGGGTCCTGTGAGGAAGGTCAGGGTGACTGTAGTTGGCACGGGCCACGGGGGGGGGGGGGGGGCAGTTAAAGCCACTGAGATCAAGAAAAGAAATCCCTGGCCCAACAGGGAGCAGGGGGTGGGGGTGGGAGAGGGCGGAATGGGGAAGGGACACTACTGTATCGTGTCTGGTGGGGCCGGCCTTTACCAGCCCGATCTCGCTGAATTTCCACCCAGTCCTGAGGGAGCTGGTATCAGCACCCCGTCTACAGGTAGAAAGAAAAGTAGCATGTCCAAGGGTGAGCAGTAAAGATAGTGCCAGCACACACCACAGGGGCCTCACCTGCTCCAGACACACGCCTGTCTCCCAACAACGTCAGGTTGGGTGCTTTTAACCCCCATTCTACAGATAAGGCACAGAGAGGTTAGGGAGCAGGGCTGGGCCTGAGCCACATTTGTGGGCCTCAGAGACTACACTGCCTGCCACTCGGACTGTGTCGATGGGGCTCCACATGCGCAGGTGAGAGGAGAGAACAGGTGGAAGGAGAACAGGTGGGAGGAGAGAACAGGTGAAAGGGGAACAGGTGGGAGGAGAGAACAGGTGGGAGGAGAGAACAGGTGGGAGGAGAGAACAGGTGGGAGGGGAACAGGTGAGAGGAGAGAACAGGTGGGAGGAGAGAACAGGTGAGAGGAGAGAACAGGTGGGAGGAGAGAACAGGTGGGAGAGAACAGGTGGGAGGAGAGAACAGGTGGGAGAGAACAGGTGGGAGAGACCAGGTGAGGAGAGAACAGGTGGGAGAGAACAGGTGGGAGAGAACAGGTGGGAGGGGAACAGGTGAGAGGAGAGAACAGGTGGGAGGAGAGAACAGGTGGGAGGGGAACAGGTGGGAGGAGAGAACAGGTGGGAGGAGAGAACAGGTGGGAGAGAACAGGTGGGAGGAGAGAACAGGTGGGAGGAGAGAACAGGTGGGAGGAGAGAACAGGTGGGAGGAGAGAACAGGTGGGAGGGGAACAGGTGAGAGGAGAGAACAGGTGGGAGGAGAGAACAGGTGGGAGAGAACAGGTGGGAGGGGAACAGGTGGGAGGGGAACAGGTGGGAGGAGAGAACAGGTGGGAGGAGAGAACAGGTGGGAGGGGAACAGGTGAGAGGAGAGAACAGTGGGAGGAGAGAACAGTCTGGTGTGATAGCCTGCTAGAGATTAGGGGGAGAGAACAGGTGGGAGGGGAACAGGTGAGAGGAGAGAACAGGTGGGAGGAGAGAACAGGTGGGAGGAGAGAACAGGTGGGAGGGGAACAGGTGAGAGGAGAGAACAGGTGGGAGGAGAGAACAGGTGGGAGGGGAACAGGTGGGAGGGGAGAACGGGGGGAGGAGAGGACACAGGTGGGAGGAGAGAACAGGTGAGAGAGAACAGGTGGGAGGGGAACAGGTGGGAGGAGAGAACAGGTGGGAGAGAACAGGTGGGAGGAGAGAACAGGTGGGAGGAGAGAACAGGTGGGAGGAGAGAACAGGTGGGAGGGGAACAGGTGAGAGGAGAGAACAGGTGGGAGGAGAGAACAGGTGGGAGAGAACAGGTGGGAGGGGAACAGGTGGGAGGAGAGAACAGGTGGGAGAGAACAGGTGGGAGGAGAGAACAGGTGGGAGAGAAACAGGTGGGAGGAGGGAGAAAGGGGGAGGGGGGGGTACAAAACAACAGGTGGGAGGGGAACAGGTGGGAGGGGAACAGGTGGGAGGAGAGAACAGGTGGGAGGAGAGAACAGGTGGGAGAGAACAGGTGGGAGGGGAACAGGTGAGAGGAGAGAACAGGTGGGAGGAGAGAACAGGTGGGAGGAGAGAACAGGGGGGAGAGAACAGGTGGGAGGGGAACAGGTGGGAGGAGAGAACAGGTGGGAGGAGAGAACAGGTGGGAGGAGAGAACAGGTGGGAGGAGAGAACAGGTGGGAGAGAACAGGTGGGAGGAGAGAACAGGTGGGAGGAGAGAACAGGTGGGAGAGAACAGGTGGGAGAGAACAGGTGGGAGGAGAGAACAGGTGGGAGGAGAGAACAGGTGGGAGGAGAGAACAGGTGGGAGGAGAGAACAGGTGGGAGAGAACAGGTGGGAGGAGAGAACAGGTGGGAGGAGAGAACAGGTGGGAGAGAACAGGTGGGAGGGGAAGAGGTGGGAGGAGAGAACAGGTGGGAGAGAACAGGTGGGAGGAGAGAACAGGTGGGAGGGGAACAGGTGAGAGGAGAGAACAGGTGAGAGGAGAGAACAGGTGAGAGGAGAGAACAGGTGGGAGGAGAGAACAGATGGGAGAGAACAGGTGGGAGGGGAACAGGTGAGAGGAGAGAACAGGTGGGAGAGAACAGGTGGGAGGAGAGAAGTGGGGTTCGGAGACCACAGCTGTTGTAGGCTGAGGCGCCCTCTCCTCGCACGCCCACCTGCTCCTTGCCAGTTTCTCCGTGGCCCCTGGTGTGGTGCAGGCTTGGCCACCGTGCCTCCCCATCTCCCTGCCTCAAGTCCCAGAGGGCTTAGATCCCAAAAGCCACCTGACTGGATGGTCAGCTGTGGGGCAGTGACCTTGACTTCTTGTTCTTGTCTGTCCCACTGCACTCAGTTCAGGATCCACACACAGCAACTCTGACGAGCACTCGAGTTCACGAGTGAACCCACGGAACCCGTCCCTCTGCTCGGCCACGCTGCTGTCCGAGCAACCTCTCCCAGCCTGGCCCGATGCGACCCCGCAGATCATTGCAGCTGGATCGGCCTCCCGACGGCGTGGCTGGGCCAGGTGCCAGGGTGCCAGGACTGCCAGGCCGGAGTGTTCTGGGGGGCATCTAAGGAGGGGCCCCATGGGAGTGAGGAAGGAGGGCTGGGGAGGACAGGTGCCCCAGCTCTGCCCATGTCCATCGTTCTCAGGTCAGGGACTGGGAGTCAGAGGCCAGCCCGGGCTCAAAGGGCTTCATGGTGCTGCAATGTGGCCCCTCGCCCTCAAGTCACTTCCACCTCTGCATTTACGCCCACGTGCCTCGGCCTGGAGCACCCCTCCCCTGGTAAATCCACTCTTCCTTCAAGAGCTGGCCTGAGCTGGCTCTCAGGCCTCTCTCCAGAGGCCCTCCCCTGCTCTCTAGGCTGGGCGCGGAGCCCTCCCCCCTGCTCCCAGAGGCCCTGTCCCTGCCTTGTCACTCCCGTTCCCACATTCTGCGGAAGGACTGGGTTTAGTGCTCCTCCGGACCTGCTGTGAATTCTCTGGGGGCAGGGTCTGAGGCTTGGCCCTCCGCATCTGCACTCCTGGGGCCTGGCATGCAACTGCTGCTGAACGAACATCTCTGAACTGAACTAAATTATGCGAGACTGAAACGTTTCTATAGCAGCTCAGTCTGGCCACCAAAGGTGTTCCAGTCAGTGTCCACATGTCCCATCCAACTGCACTCAGCCTGAACACACGAGAAAATGGGGAGGGGGCAGGGCCAGGGGTCGTGCCTGGGCACAGGGTTTCCAGCGGCCTTGCTGTCTAACCAGAAGCCTCTCTGGACTCCTGGGATATGCCACAGTCTGAGGACCCTGATCATGTCGTCCTCTAAGCTCAAGAGGCTGTAGATCGAGTCAGTTTTTGGCCATTTTAATTGTAAAAACCAAGACATTTATATAAATAAGACCGCTATGTAAAATAGGATTCACCCTCTACTAAAACGCTCTCCCCACACTCGAAAAGAACATAGAAAACCCAGCAGAGATCAGAAGTACAAATCAGCATGCGGTCCCTGATGAGAAGTAACTGGCAGGCCAGGTTCCCTGCTGAACAGGCCTCACGGTGAGTGCGCTCCTGGCCCAGGCGGCTCACCGAGGCTGGTGACACCTTGAGAAACTGCTGGATGGCAGTTCCCACGCCCTCAGCCACTGGTTACCAACTGCGAGGTGGAGGCAGGCTGGGGAGGGGGATGGGAAGGCTGCTTGGTCCTCAGGCCGAAGCAGGGGCTGTGCAGCTGTTGGCCCAATGAGATGCATTGGTTGTTGGGCCTGGGGTCAGCTTGGGAAAGGGATTTCTGGGGAGTCACCACTTCTCCAGAGGACAAGGAGAGAAGCTGCCGGTGCCCCTGGAGAGGACAGGCTCCTTGGGGCCATTTGCATATGGTCGGTAAAGACAAGGGCATGGCCACCTGCCAGCTGGGGTGGAAGGTGGGCACCGGGATGTGAGGGGGCAGCCCCCAAGAGAGGGGGCCGGCATGTGCTTGTGTGAGAAGCTCCACCTCCCCACCCTCCTGCCCCGTCACATCTCCCACCCTCTCTGGCATCGAGACCACTGCCTGCTGCCCCTTCACACCCTGGGCCTCAGGGGGGGATGGCTGGGAGCCTGGGGACAGAGATGTCGGTCAGTTCACACTGGGCCTGGCTCAGGACACTGGCACACAGGACAAAAGAAAGACCCCACGCTCGCCTTCATAACCTAGGACCTGCCTGGGGCTGCTCCCATGCCAGATGAGCGGCAGGAGAGGGCTCTGCAGGGTTGGGGGCAGGGGCAGGGGACAGTGTCAGGAGCACTTCCAGACACACACAGCCAGGGTCCCCCCGAAGTACAGGTAGAGGAGGTTCTTCACCTCATGTGTGATCTCAAAGCCGAAGCCTTCTCCGATCACCACGTGCCAGGAGGAGCCGAACTTCTTGTCCATCGTCTCTTTGATCATCTTGGCGGCGCTCTGGAACAAAGAGGACGCAGTCACGGGGTGCCGGGGGGGGGGGGGGGGCGGGCAGCGCGTGAGTCAGCTCCCTCTGTGGGAGCAGAAGTCTTAGCAAGAGCAAGGCCCGCTGCCCTGTTAGCCATTCTGCTCCTGGAACCACCAGAAGGGTTTCCACACCGGCCGCCCCCTGCCGGGCGCAGGGGGAGGACCCGATGCTGCCTCACTGGAGGAGGCGCTGGCTAGGGTGGCAGCGTGGGCATCAGGCCTGCAGACAGAGCCCTGGTCTGAGTGCTGGCCTGCCACTTGATGCCCGTGTCTGGGCCAGTACCAGGCTGTCCTCAGGACTAAAGGAGGTCACGGGTCCGAGAGCACCCTGTGGACTGTACAGGATTACTATCGTCACTGCGGTGCCGGGTTCCCTTCCGGGAACAAAAGGCTGCTCCCTGGCGGCTCTGGTGGGCTCCCAGAGGAGCAGCTGGTCTGTTTCCCTCATCATGGCACCAGCCCCCCTCCTTCCTGTGCTCGCTCTTGCAAGAGGTCTAGGGAAGGGCAGAGCCCTCTGGGTCAAGTCCTAGGCACCAGCAGCACCCACCGCTGTGCCAGGTGCCATGGGAGCACTTGGTCTGCATCACCTTAGTGCGTAGGTCCTCACACGGCCCAGTGCGGAGGCAGCACCCTCACCCCCCGTTACAGGCTAGGAAGCAGGCTCAGAGGTGAGAAATGGCTTATTCAAGGTTAAAATGCTAGGAAGGGCGGAGATGGGATTTGAACTAGGGCCTGGCTGGCCCAAAGCCCTGGCTCTTGTTGGCCAGGGTCTGCCTCTCCACCAGCTGCCATGACACGGACTTCTTACTCACTCACCACCAGATTAATGATTGACATTCCTGTGTGGATGCCGATTGGCCACATCGCCGGCACTAGAACGTGCCTAGCAGAGATGGTGTCTAACGGCTTTTCTGAATGGATGAATGGATACATGAATGAATGCCTGGACGCGCCTGTTCTCCACTGGCCTGGAGCCAAGGGAAAGGTGCCCTATTCATCAGCCCACCTGAGACAGGGAACAGAGTCAGGGGTGCCTTGAAGACCCCTTTACCTTTTCTCCTTCTAGAGCTGGGAGTGACCACCAGATCAGTGCCCAGAGACGGCACCAGAATCTTCCCTCACTGGCCTTCCCCAGGCTACAAATGCTTCCAAGGAAGGCACTAGCCTGGTCCCAGCAGGACTCTCTGGAGCTAGCTGTGGGAACCGGGGTACTTGATTCACCCACGGGGTCACTGAAGGCACGAGGGGCCACCGGTACCAATGGCAATACCTCGTTGTTGTTGGAGAATTTCTCACAGGCCGTGACACATAGCTCCATGGTCTCCACTCGCATCTCCTCTGGCATGTCCGAGTGCTAGAGACAGGGCAGGGGTGACAAACAAAGAGAGGCTTAGCCCATGACCTGGCTCTGGGCCGGCCTCTCTGTCCCAAGCTTAAGGCATGGACACTGGGTGAATGCCCTGGCATCTCCTTCACTCAGGGCGTGCAGCTGGAAACTGGGCATGGATTCGAGTGACGTGGGCTCTAAGGCCAGGTCCTCTGCAAGGGCATGAAGCTCCATCAGCACCACATTCGAGCCAACAGACACGGGAAGAAGGCTGGCCCAGGCAGGAGAGAATGCCGGCTACGTTTACAAGCAGCCTCAGAACACAGCTGGGTCTCACCCCGAAGCCTGCAGAGAGAACCTGGCCATTCTCGATGGCTCCTGGTTTTCTCCCTGCCTCTCTGGCTGCTCTTCTTAGTCCACTTGGCTGGATCCCCTCCCAGGCCCAGCGTCGGAGAGTCCTGGGCTTGTCTCCACCCTTTCCTCTCTTCAAGTATCTGCTCTCTAGGGGATCTAGCCTGTTCCATGGATTTATTTATCTCATATATGGGTAGGGGTCCCACAATCTCATCCCCAGTTTTAATGTCTCTTTTAGGCTCTGGACTCCTATATCCAACTACCTAACTGACAACCTCACTCAGACGTCCAAAAGATAACTTCTGCTTTCCCCCATAAACCTCCACTTCATTCTCTTGGAAATTCAAAGTATCTTGTTTAACCTTTCCTTCATGTGGACCAGACCCTGTCTGTCTTGTTCACTACTATATCCACAGTGTTCAGTATTTGGCAGGTGGCCTACATAAAAACTTGCTGAATGGATGAATGAATGAAAGAATGAATTACTGTTGACTTCTAGATCTCTAGATCTGAGCCAGCCAAGCCCTTCTGAACTCCCTCCCACCACCACCCCCGCCTCTCTCCAAGGCTGTGTGGGCCCTGCTGGCCACCCTGCTCCCTCCCTTGGGGCTTACCCTGACCAGAGGGAAGGTCTGCAGTCGTTTATAATCAGCCTCATCTTTCTTCCCTTCTGCTTCTCCCATGATCCTTCCACTGTGACTGGAGGAGAGTGGGGGCTTTCAAGAGGTGCTGGGACTGGCAACTGAGACACACCCAGGGGATTCAAGAAGCAGGTCCTGCTAGCTTGATGGGAGCAGAAAATGTCTTAACTCAAGGGGTGCTGTAGAAAACAGGAAAAACCAGGAGAAAAGAGTTGGCTTTAAAACCATACATCGCAAATTAGATATGTCTCAGTAACAATTTGACACCTCCCAATCTTAACTCCTCCGCATCCTTTGCCAAATGGCCAGCGAGTCTGCAGACGGGAGGATGAGTCAACATGAGATGCTGGGGCCTGGTTAAGAACACACTGGTATGATGCTGCAAGCCCACACTGTCATTATCAAGACAAATACTGACTGTGGGCCAGGCCGCGGACGGAGCCGTGAACTAGCAACAAACAGCCTCTCTGCATGCCCACTATGTACATGGTCCTATTTCTCAGCAGACAGGATTAGAACATTACTATCAGGTCACGAGCCACAATGCTGGGCTTATGGGACCTGTGCCTCCTTCCACAGGCCCCTGATCTGCAGAAGAAATGAGAACAGCGGTGCTGTGTCCTCTGTGGCACTCCAGGCTCTCTAGCTCTTCCTGCTCACTCCCCCGCAGGCCACTCTGTCCTGTCTGGCTGGCCCAGGAGTTGGAGGCCTGGGCTTCAGTGCTGCTTCTGCTGCTCACCCCAGTATGGCCTTGGGCCTCAGAGTCCTCATCAGTAACACGAGGGTAGTCATTTATCTCATGGGCTGTTAAGAGAATCAAATGAGACAGTGTATGTAAGCAACGATCAGAGCCAGACATGTGGCTGACACTCAATGCACTGTCCTGCCTCCCTCTGGCTCCTGGGGAATCAAATGAAAGTGCCTGTGGACATGGCTGGAGAGGTACAAAGCCTCACACACACGCATGGATTTTTTCCTTTCCAAATCCAGTTGTCTAATAACAGATGGGGCTTTTCCTGAAGAGATGGGCCTGGATCCTAAATGATTAGGGGCATTGCTGAAAATCCTGTGTTTCTCTTTATCTTATAATTCAATTTATCCTTAACTCAAAGAATGTTTAATCTTAGATGAAGTACTAATGTAAACAAATACAAACTACCATGTTGTTAAACCCTTTTTAACAATCCATATTTAACAAATATAGACAAATGTTATTTTAGCATTTCTCACATTTCCAAATGAAGTTCCTTTCATGGCATAGCCACTGAACCCCAAAGACACCTAATAGGTAGGTAGGTAATGACAGGTAACATTTAATAGGTTTCCCCTGTGCCGGCCACTGTTCCAAGTGCGTCAGATGCATCTACTCAGCTGATCGCTGCAACAACCTCATGAGTTAGGTCCTGTACCAACCGAGGCGGGAAGCTGTTAGGTTGCTGACCTGAGGTCACTCCGCTAGTGAGCCGCAGAGCTGGGCTTGAGACTGGGCAGTCTCTGGTGTGGGCACTCCTAACCTTTCATCCGGCCTTCTCCCAGCACTGGCCCGATGTAGCAGCCACAACGCTGACCTCGAGTGTGACCTGTAGTGTGGCTCACGTGATTCCAGCAGTGACGCAAACATCAGCGCTTCCCTTTTGGTGTCTGCTGGTCTAATGCTAACGGGACCCTGTCCGGCCAAGCACCGAGCTTTCTGTGTGCCTTTTCTGGCCGTGCTGTCCCTCCCCTCCCATGCCTCAGCAGCTCTCCGCGCCGTCCCACTTGGTCAGCTCCCTCAACCGAGGCTGGAAGCTTGGCACCATCCCACCATCCCTCCACACTGGCATTTTCTGATTTCTCAGTGGGCAGATGGCTCCTCTTATCTCATCAATTCTGGGCACTTGTACCATTCAGATATTAGCTTTTGTTGGTTTCTTTATATATAAGTTGGCGAATTGCCAAGCACAATCTCATTGTACTTTCTGCTCATTTTTTTAAAAACGTTTATTGATTTTTTTAGAGCAAGAGGGAGAGACAGAAACATTGATGTGGGAGAGAACATTGATCGACTGCCTCCTGCACGTCCCCTACTGGGGATCGAGCCCACAACCAGGGCATGAGCCCTGATGGGGAATCAAGCTGGGACCTCTCAGTCCATGGGAGGATGCTCAGTCCACTGTGCCACACCAACTGGGCTCTGCTCATGTTTCTTATTTCATAAAATCCAGTGAGTCACGTGTCTTTGCTCATTAACTTAAGGCCCACCTCCAACTCCATCCTGTCCCTTTCGCTTTATTACAGGCCACTTGATCACTTTCTCCTCCTCATTACCAAGGGGTGACAGAAGGTGGCTACACTGATGATCAAAGGATAAGGGCTTTAAGTTTTGTTTACCTCCTGAGATTTTCAAGTGGGAACAACTTAAAATGCTGAAGCAGCTGCCTATACATCTTCCACCTGAATATTTCAGTCTGATTCAATTCATCCTCGAGCTAAAAAGTGCCAGCAGGGAGGGGCCTGGAAGGGCATTCCGAGGCAGTCATGCGCATGCCTGTCCTCGGGGAGGTCGGGGTCTACGACAGCTGCTTGGACCCTTCAGCATATGGAATCCTGATGAAACAAGGCTCCAGAGGTATTACCAAAGCCCATTCTTCAGGAACAAAGGGGTAAAGCCGCTGGGAGTTTCAGGGGAAAGGAGCATCACCTTGTAGAGAAGGTGCAGGACCAGGAGGTGGAGTATTTAGGCTTGAGTACCAATTCTGTAACTGAAATGACTTCTTCCCTCTCCTTGCTTTGCAGCCTTGGGCAAGTAACTTAACCTGGGCCAGGTCTGCTCCCCGTGAAATAGGATGATCCCATCGTAGCTTCAGAAAGCTGTTGCAATCACCAAAAACATGCATGCGAGCGTTTTGAAATTTTAAAGCTCTCTTAACTATTATTGCACTGCTCTTCCTAGTCATGTTATTAGCTAGGACTTCGTCAACATGATCCAAACACGTTTATAAAGAACAGGACTGCAGCACGGCCAGTGTGGTTCAGTGGTTGAGCATCGACCCATGCACCAAGAGGTCACTGGTTCGATTCCCGGTCAGGGCACATACCCGGGTTGTGGGCTTGATCTCCAGTGAGGGCCATGTGGAAGGCAGCCAATAGACGGTTCTCTCTCAAATCGATGTTTCTATCTCTTTCTCCCTCTCCCTTCCTCTCTCTCTAAATATCAATAAAAATATATAAAAAATAAAAGAACATGATTGCAAATAGCTTTCATAATCACTACAGGTACTTTTGGAGTTCCAAAAGGGATGAGACTTGAATGAAAGTTATAGATGGTACTTCCAAGTACAAAAAGGTAGAAGACTTTTTATGATGCTGTATCATTACAGTACAGCTCTAGTCATTCAGACACGATTCAAAACCCTGCTAAAGAATGCTACCAAAAATAGAAGTAGAGGTTTTAATAACCTTATCAATCTTCCATGCAAATGAGTGTGTACCTGACAGCTCCAGCCAGAAAGAGTCCCATCAGGCCTAAAAGAGAGCCCTTTAATAATGTAAGTGTGCCTGTGGCCAAGGCACTTCAATCTGCTGGGCACCAAAGCTCAACCCATCCCAGGGCCCATCCTGGCGCATAGGCCAGAGGCAGCCCTGCTTTCTCTCCTGCCCTTTACACTCCTCTTCACCCAAGGGCCCCTCTGTGTGCTTGCTCAAGACATTTTCTTTATGTATAATACGATGTCATAAACAACACTCACATCATACACAGATCTGGATGAATCCGACATTCTGGTTAAGATACAGAGTACAGCAAACAGTCACAACCATCACAGCTACTAGCTCTGTGCGAGAACAGCCACTTGCTTACTCCAGAGAGGGGATTATGCGGTCTCCCACCTCCCTTTCCTACTCAAGAGAACAGAGTTGAACATAAGAGACTAATAATAACATTATCGCAAAAATAAATTGAAGTTAGCACTTTTTAAAACTATATTGTCCTCAGATAGAGGATGTATCAGATGATGAACTGATACAAACAGATCTATGCTTGATCTTAGCCAAAAGGCTGAACTGCTGATTTATTTTTTAAAAAATCATTCATGCCCTGGCCAGTGCAGCTCAGTTGCTTGAGTATCATCCCATGTACCGAAAGATTGCTGGTTCAATTCCTGGTCAGAGTGCATGCCCCGGTTTTAGGTTCAATCCCTGGCTGGGCTACATTCAGGCAGCAACCGATCGATGTTTCTCTTTCTCTCGCTCCCTCTTTCTCTCTCTAAAAAAATTTTTAAAAAGATCATTCACAATTGCTCATTACTGGTGACATCTCACAACCAGTCATGACTTAGCAGTGTGCCACAAGGCTAGACAATCAGCGGGGGCTGAAGGGCTTTATCTGTTCTGTTGCAGATGCTCCCAAGCATGAAGTCCAGTGTCTGGCATGTGGCAGGAGACCAACAAACCTCTAAATTGTAATTAAATTATATTTCATTTGCCCCCTGGGAATGGAGAGGACATATCAAATTCATTCTGTAATATTTATTGAGTACTGACCTTAAGCAAGGCAACAGGATGGGTGCTCTGCATAAAGATCTCATTCATTCCCCCTAACTCTGTCAGATAGGCACTATTATCCCTACTTTTCTGATGACCATGTAGGCTGAGAAAAGGAGAGACATTCCACTTGGTTAATACACGGAGCTAGGATTCAATCAGGTATGTATGACTTCAAGTGTATACTTTTCCAACTACTCCACTACAAGCAAGACAGTTCCTGCTTTCAAGTGTACAATCTGAGAGACCAACATACATACACAAGGAACTGTGGTTCATGACAGAAGACAGTAAGTGCCACAAGACAGATGCAGAGAGAGAGGAAAGGGGAGATTTCTAGAGGGGGCAGGGAGAGAACAGTAAGAAAACCTTGAGGGAAGGGGCAGCATTTGAATCAGGCCTTAAAAGGTGAGTAGGAATCCCACCAGGTGGACACGGTGAGGAAGATCTGGGCAGAGAGGGGAACAAACATGCTCACATCAAAGCAGAAAGCTCCAAGCGTTTCTGGGAAAGTCCAACAGTCCCATATGTCTGGAGGACAGGAGCTGGCCAAGGAGAAGGGAGCAATAAGGCTGGGGGAAAAGGTGGGGTTAGGTTGTGGAAGTGAAGACGGGCCCTAAAACCCAGGCTTAGGAAATGTGGATATTTTTAGTGGGGAATGAGAAGCTCTTTGGAGGTCTCTTGGGGGTTGGTGACATGGTTGTGTTTTGGGGCAGTTATTCTCATTATGACAATTGAGTTAACAGGAGGAGGGACTGGAAGTAGGCACACCAGTTAGGAAGCTGCAGCAATGGCCCAGGTGACAGACATTAAAGACTTGAACCTAGGGTGGTGGCTTCAGAAATGAAGGAATGTGAAATCCTTGCTGAGGCAGAATCAAAGCAAACTGACAGTTTCCCGAGTGGGCTGGGCATGACAGAATGATGGATGCTGCCCGAGAGAGACAGGGAAATCAGGTGTAACATGGATAGGGAGAGAGCAGGCCAGTCTGATGTTAGAACTACTGAGTTTAAGCGGCTAACGAGATGTGCAAATGGAGGTAGGTGTCTCATCAAGAGTAGGTAATCACCGAATCATGGATCGTCAGGGGCAGAAGGGAAGCCACTGAGTCCAACCGGCACATCAATCAATATATCAATCTCTACCCCCACCCCCACCCCAAAGTATCCTTAACCATGGAAACCCAGGAGAAAGAACGGAGCTGGAGATCTGGATTTGACGGTCAAATGGAGAAATGACAGCTCACACTAAGGGAGTTGGGGCATTTCTGAGGGGAAAAATGTGGGGAAGAGACAAAGGAAGGAAAGTAACAAATACTGAATCTACACTGGACTGGACTCCGTACTTCATATTATCCTCAGAATCCCCAGAGAAGATGCTCTGTAGTAGCCTGATTTGCTATGCGCCCAGGGAGCTTAGGTAACTTGCTCGGGTCCTGCCACTGGGAATCCAAACCAGGCTTGTCAAGTTCTTGCACCACAGCCGATTCCTCTAACGGGAAGCACATCCTCAGGGAAGCCTACAGTTGGGTCAGAGAAGCACATCCTGGAACGTCAGAGTCGAAGAGGCCTTAGAGATCCTTCAGCCCAACTTCTCGTTTACAGATGGGGAAACTGAGGCCCAAAGGGGGAAATGACCAGCCTGGAGTCCCAGCACGTCGCCTACTGTCCAAGTCAAGCTGTCTGTCTGGGCCAAGGCTCTGGCGGCCACAGGCCCAACGCCAGAGGGTGTAATTACTCCGCGAAAGGTGGGGGGATCAAGGTGCAGGGGGCGGGTTCGGGTCAGGGAGTACCGAGGAGCTCAAAGCGTGACCGGGCCTCCATTGGGGCGGGGTGGGGAGAAGCGGCCTGCAGAATAGCGACGGCAGATCTGTCACCACCGAGCTCGCAGGTCTTCTAAAGTGGGGGGATGGGGGTTGGGAGGACCTGGGGCTGGGGACCAGCAGGGAGGAGACTGAGGTGGGGCCTCCGCGGTGGGCGAGGCCCCGCCAGCCCCGCGGTGCTTCCCGGCTCCCCTTCGGGCCGGCCCTCCCCACCCGGCTGCCCGCCGAGCCCCGGGGCCTCACCTGCTCCCGCGGGGGCCGGAGCCGAGGCCGCAGCTACCTCACCCCCGCCAGGGTTGTCAAGGAGCAAAACAAGAGTGTCTTAGCAACAGCGGGGAAGTCCCACCCCTCACCGGACGTTGACAAAAATTTTACTTCTTATTGGTGGATAAAAGTGTCCTTCAACGTTGAAGGGCCCTACACGTAGAGGTTTGTACGAAAGGGGCGTTGCTTAGAGGCTTGAGAGGCGGGGCTTAACTTATAGTCGTCTTAAGTGGGCCTGAGGAGCCAGGGACATACAGAAGTTCTTATTTTAGAGAAACAAACTTTTAAAAAAGCAGTATTGCCTGGGGAGTTTCTTTTAGTCATTTGAAATAACAAGTGAAATTTGTTAGTGTCGTGACACTGAGATGCTACTTCATTAGGATCTCAAAAGCCTACTAATAACTAGTATTTATGTAGGGCTTTACAATGGTATCTCGCTTGATTCTCACCAGTTCTCTTTCAGGATTCGTAACCCCACCTGAACTAAGGTTTAGAGAGGCTAAGTAACTTGGTAAAAAATCAAGGTAAAGCTCCTTGAGAATGAACCCAGGTGCTGTTTCCACTGGAGGAGACACTGTACCATCTGACTTAAAGACACAGTTGCCCAGAGCCTGCTTTTCTTCTCCTTGGGGGCAAAATTAATCTGAAAGTATTTATACGACTATGGAAGAGACAAGAACCTGCAGATTCAATTATCTGATTGGTGGATCAAAGGTTCAGTGGCATACTCTAATGTAAACATTTACTTTCTTATGGTGGATACTCAGGTGAAATCCCACTTCATGTTCACTGGCACCTACTGGGAACTCACCCCTGGCCTGGTTCTGGTGATTCAGAGAGGAACGAGAAGAGGAAAACCTTGGTCCTAGAGAAGGCACAGTGAGGGGACAGCTGTGTCAACAAAATGAATACAGAATAATTCATTTCATCTGTGTTCTGATAGAGGCGTGGGCAAGGTGCTGGTTCTCTTCAAGGAGGGAATAACTAACACTCAGAGTTGGCTGAATCTGTACGTGATCAGTAGGCTAGTGAGGGTGGAGAGCACAATTCAGTAGGGAACTTCTCGGTGGCTCTACGAGGCCCGGGAGGACGGAGAATGTGGTACAAGTGGGAGGTGATGGTGAAGAGGGTAGGGGTGAAGATGCAGAGGGAAGTAGGGACCACAAAAGCTAGGAGGGTTTTGAACGCCAGGTTCAGGTATTTGGGTGTTCCCTGGGGTGAGTGAGAGTTGGAGAAAGTGGCTGTTGGAGAGTTATTTTTTGTTTGTTTTTTAAGCGAAAGGAAAGTTTATTTGAAATATCAATGTTGGAGCGTTTTAAGGCCAGCAGTAACATGGTCAGATTTGGGTTGTGGAAAGATCACTTGGGTGGTGAAGATAGTGGACTGGACTTGGAGTGGGTAGACCGAAGGCAGGCACAGTGGATTTTGTTTTGAGACTTGGCAGCACGAGGTGTGCTAGCCACTTGCCGATTCTCACCTTGCCTCCTTGGTGCATTCTGAGGGTCAGGGGATGTCTGACTCAGTCTCCATATTTCCTGAAATCTCTTTGCCCACTTTCTCCAGGAGATGGAAGGTGGCCTTTGAGGGGGATGAAGCTCTTGCCTCCGCCTCTCATCCAAATTTCTCTAAAAGGGGTCCACATTTGCTGTCTTCTTTTTCTCACCTCCCATTCAGTTTTCAGCCCACTGCAATCTGGCTTCCACGCCTACGACGCCACCAAAATTCTCTCTTCCATGGTTACCAGTGACCTCCTGGAGAGCAGAATCTGATAGACCCATTTAGTCTCTATTTTCCTGGACCCATCCTCTCTGCTGGCATAGCCTATCAACCACACCCATCTTCTTGAAATTCTGTACCCCAGAACTAGTGCCTTCAGAACTCTTTTTTTTTTTTTTCCTTTCGTTTTTTGTTCAGATAGAGTGGCAGAGAGAGAGAGAGAGAGAGAGAGAGAGAGAGAGAGAGAGAGAAACATCGACGTGAAAGGGACACATTGAGTGGCTGCCACCCGCACAACTCAACCAAGGCCGGGGACAAACTGCAACTGAGGTATGTGTCCTTAGTGGGAACTGAACCCGGGTCTCTCTGGCCTGTAGGCTGATGCTCTAACCACTGAGCAAAACCTGCCAGGGCACCTTCAGAACTCTTTAAAATGAAGTTTAAAGGGTCCCATGGCATTAGAATGGCGAGGGGCAGGAATCTGTATTTTTCACAAGCACTCTGTGCACTCTCACAGTTAAGAATCACAGCTCCTAACATTGGGGACACTTCACTCTCTTGAATCTCCCTGACCCCTTCCTTACCTGCTTTCTTGGGGTTTTCGTCCTTTGCATTTTGTGCCTACCTTGGCCCCCTTTTCTTCTCATCAATGGTCTCAAATTTCTTCCTATCCTAAGTCACCTTCCCATCAGTGAGAAATTCCCTTGGTCACGCTTCCTGGGTATTTACTGGAATTGAGGGTTGAGTATGTACTCTGGAAAAGCCTCTCTGGTGATTCCAAATATTCTCTCAGGGAGTTATGCCACCCCTATGCATATCTTGTTGAGAACTGCTGTCTTAAGTACTGTCCCTTGGGGATCTCATCCATTCCATGGTTCCATTGTCAATGTCCTGGATTCTGATAGCTTCTCTATTTCTCTCTCCAGATTAGGCCTCTCATTGGAGCTCCAAACCTAAATATCCCACTGCCCCTGGTCATCTCCACCAGACTGTCCCACAAGCCCTTCAAACTCTATATGTGTCAAACAGAATTGATCATCTCCCTCCAACCTGCTCTCCCTGCATTTCCTGCCTCATTAAATGGCACCACCACCCACCCAGTTGCCTCCATCAGAAACCGGGGACTCTCATTCTTCACACTTTCCCCACCATCACCCACCTCCAGTCAATCACCAGCCTGTTCGTTTTGACTCAATTCTGCCTCTATCCTGGTTACAGCCCCTTCTGGTCACGTTCATGGCATTCTGTATGTGCGCAGACCCACGATCCCATCGGTATCATTGCGATAACTTTCTAATGGGACTTCCAGAGTGCAGTCTTGCCCATCTTCTGTACCACAGACAATGTGATCCTTCTAAAACCCAAATTTCACCACTGCACTCCTCTCTTTAACAACTCCTTCCCTCCCTCCGCAGTTCCCCATTGCCTATCAGAGGACATCCGATGCTGTCACCTGGAGTTCAAGGACCCCATGATGTGGCCTGTGGGCAGCTTTGTCTCCTTGCTGCTGCTTTCTGCCAACTCTCATGGCTGTTTTTCACCTCCCTGCCTTTGCTCACGCATCCTCTCTGCCACATCCTCCTTCGGCCCTTCCGTCTTTTTGGCTAGATGAGCCCATTCACCTTTGGTCAAAGCTTGCACACATTGGATTTCTTGCAACCAGTAGAGTTGTTGTGCTCCAGCTCATCTGATGTGTGTTCCCGCCACTGCCCTTCTCCACCGTTCTGCACTTGAGTTTAATTCTGTTTTCCCCTGTGAACTCCTTGAGAGCAAGAACCTTGTCTGTTTGTCTTACATTCCTGGGCTCCACACAGGATCCAGCAGAGAACAGGAGCTTAGTAAATGTCTCACGAATGCATGTATGAGTGAATGCGTGAGGTGGATAGGGTCCTACGCTCCTTCTTCCGACTCAGCTCTTGTCAGTCCCCAAGACAGCCTGGGTTCCATCTACACCAGTTCGGGCGCTGCTCCTGTCGTTTAAAATTGCTGACAGTGGACACTCTGGAATCAGCTAGTAATAAGATCAGCTGTAAGTAACAGATTGGAAAAACCATGACTTAAAACAACCTAAATTTACTGTAGTACAGTTCTGTCGTCAGAAGTCTGAAATGGGTGTCACTGGGCTAAATCAAGGTGTCCCCAGGGCTATGTTTTCTCTTGAGGCCCTAGAGGAAACCGTTCCTTCCTTTTCCCAGCATCTAGAGACTTCCCACATCCCTGATGCAGATGCTTCCACCTCTCTCTTCTTTGGTCCATGGCTGATGCTCTACCGCTGAGCCAAACTGGCCAGGGCCCACCTCTGTCTTCTATGTCTAAGGACATGTGATTACTTTGGGTCCATCCAGACAATCCCGGCTAATTTCCTTGTCTCACGGTTATCTGATTAGCAATCTTTTTTTCATACTTACAATTTTTTTTGGGGGGGGGGATATTATTTTTCTTTATTGATTTTAGAGAGAGAGGAAGGGAGAGGGAGAGAGAGATAGAAATATCTGTGAACGAGAACATCAACTGGCCGCCTCCTGCATGCCCTGCACTGGGGATTGGGCCCACAACCTGGACATGTACCCTGACTGAGAATCAACCCGGTGACCTCTTGGTGCATGGGTCAAGGCTCAACTACTGAGCCACACCAGCCGTGTTAAAAGTCTACTTTAAACTAAATATTGCTACACCAACTTTCTTTGAACTAGTGTTTGCATAGTGTATATTTTTCTATCCTTTTAATTTTACCTTTCTATATATTTATTTTAAAATCCAGTTGACAATATTGGAATGTTTATCTTTTTTATATTTAATAT